TAATAGGGGGGTGGGGGTGGGGGGGGGTGGCAGATGCAACCTCATACCCCTGTACTAGTTGGGACAACTCTGCTCTATTTCTCCTTCGGTGAATAAAAGAACGAGAGATCATGAAATTTCAGTGATTTTAGTAAGTTACTGTGACAACTTTTCCCATTTAGGAACAAACCACTTACATTAAAAAATATAAACCAATGTATAACGTTTTTAAATGCACACTAAATTGAGGTAGCCAACCCGGTACCGGTACTAATACTGAGGGTAATTTGCCATTTATAACCACAAAAAAAGTTTCATTCAGATATCTAGATTCTACATATATGTTTCACATGATCGTCGGTCGTGGCAAGCTTGGGGTGCACTTATTCGATACCTTAGAGTAGTAGAGAATCTTTGGTTTAGCTATAGGCGCTTCTCTGTTGCACCAGGACACCCGAGTTTGATTCCCAAGTCTGGAGAATTTTTATCGAGTATTTCGATCTTTCTGCTGGGTTGTTGTGTACCTCTCAGCCAGGGTTGGCCCTGACAAGCACTGTCAGAAGCTCGCCTCCTACTTTACTTTTACTTTTATCCGCCGCTTAGATCTATACCTTTTGGGAGTCGCGGGAAGGAAGAGACGTCTCTCTGCCACCAGCCGGAAAGCTTGGTTCAGGGGGATGCCGTGAGTTGTTAATGTTTCCCTGACTCCATCTATCCAGGTCTTTTTCGGTCGCCCTCTAGCCTTGTTGCCATCGAATTTTTCAATGTATGCACTTTGTGCTGGGTGGTGTGTTGGTAATCGCATGAGAGCCCGCCTCCTAAAAGATGTAAATTGTGTCGATAGGGGTTTAAAATACCTACATTAAAACATTGTTTATCACACATCACTCGTAAAATATGTTTCTATTTCTCTGCCGTCATGGGTTGTAGGAGATTAACCCATTTTGATGCTAGGTCATTACCGTGGCTTCACTGTCTGTCTTTTCCTTTTGGTGGGTGATTGGCGGGTGCTCTGGTGTGGTTTGCTCCTTCTTTCCTATCAAACATCTGATCTCTCCTTCTTTTTTGTGTATGTTACTCTCTTGTGACACGTCTATTCTCCAGCACTTATACACGACCTTATTATTGTGCAAGTGCTGTAAAACTTTTACTAAAACTAAACTGTCTCTCTCTCTCTCTCTCTCTCTCTCTCTCTCTCTCTCTCTATCTATCTATCTATCTATCTATCTATCTCTCTTTTTCTTCTGTGCTATTCTCTCACTTTCTTCTCTGCCCATCTCTCTCTTACTCTCTCTCTCTGTGTCTCTCTCTCTCTCTCTGCCTTTTTTCTCTCCCTCCCTCCCTCCCCCACACACTCAAAGCGTATCCTAAAGCGGCGGATTGACGTACGAACTTTTGCTCCCAAAATCTCTTTAAGGTGATTGATATATCCATGGCGTTTTTATTTTTAGATGGAAATCTGATTTGTCCGTTTTGTACACACCAGAATTTTGTCTCTGTTGCAGAGATGCGTATGTGTGGTTAGCCGGTGCTATTATGTAGTTTGCTCCTTTCCTATCTAATATCTGTCTTCCAAATCTGTCCTCCTTTTTGTGTTTGTTAGTCTCTTGTAACACCTCTAATCTTTGGTGCTTAGATGATTTAATTGTTCTGCAAGTGCCGTAAAACTTTGACTAAAACAAGAGATGCGCATTGTACGCTTCTTTTGTGTTCACTCTCTTCTTGCACGCTAAAGACTTGGATTAGCTCAGATGGCTCTGGTTTGAATCCCAGTGTAGGCTTTATTGAACTCTGGTAATTTTTAAAAGAGTTTTTCGAGACTCTCAACCTGTTCAGTTCCGTCCTGTCGGAGACAGACCCTTAAATAACCTAATAGTGTCGATAGGGGCTCTAATAAACAAATACACGTTTGGCTGCAGACGTGCTTTCGATTGACATTGTTTTGGGAAAGACATCAACTTTATCACGTGTTTCTACTTGGATTTGGCATCCAACACAGCGCAGGGCTGAAGCAGCCCGCTCCCCAAACGTCTGACGTAGAATAATTACATTATGTGACCTTATTTTGTTTAAAGTGTCGTAAAACGCTTACTAAACTTCAAATACGCTACTCCCTTATCTTTTCAGATGCGCTTCATCACGAACATCACTGGATGGGATGAAAAGAAGCCTGCCATATACCACGGACACGTGGCCTTTATAGACTTCTCACGGTGAGTCTGTTTGTTTGTCTGTGTGTCATTCTCTCTCTCTCTCTCTCTCTCTCTCTCTCTCTCT